GCTGAGGAGGCATCATGCCAGCAGTTCCTTGGCCAAAAAATAGCTGCTGGGGTGCCAGCCTGGGGGCCCCAGGATGATATCCAGGAAGCCCTGAAGGCATAGGTGATAGTCCAGGTGCCTGAATTTGAGTAAAATGTGCCTGAGAAAAAAAGCCATTTAAGACAATCCATCTACACTTTACAAATAAAGTGAAAATATAGGCGATTACAGCCGATTCTAGACTTATATACTTTCAAACTATTGAACTTTAGAGCCAGCATAACCCTCATCTCTCTGTGCACACTGCTGTTGTTTTATGGGGAAAAAAAAAATCAACTTTAGGTCTTGAAAAGTAAATAGCAAGACAAAAGCAACCCTCAGTTTCCTGAATATATCTTGCTTTATCCATCTTCATCTGGACCTGGTTTTACAGGGCATCTGAATCATTTCACACCCCCAAGCTCATCAAAAAATAGCAAAAAACTAGTCATTCCGGCTGTAAATCGAGGTCTTGATCCAGATTAACAATGGCAATAATACAAAGCTATTGGAGAGTTCAGTAGTCATATTTTATAGGTGCCACCAGTATAAAACAGATTTGAGGACTATGCAAGACATATACAGGTCATATGAAAAGTTGAATAAATGATCATGTGATTCCCGGCAACAAAGGTTTCCTTATTGGAGCAAAAAAGAGGAAAATAATTGTTTGATGAGAAAAATATGCAGTAATGAGGATCACCTGCAGCCGAGCCTTCCTCTCTTCTCTGCGTTGGGCAACGGCTACATACAGGGGTTTCTTTCCTATCATCTTTCCATTCATTCCATTCATCTGAAAACAGAAATTGGTAATAATAGATTAATATACAAAAAAAGGCAACTGTATAATCACAAATAAAAATTAAAAACTTACAGCTCTTGAAGCTTCCTCAGGTGTAGAAAAGGCAACAAAACCAGAGCCCTTACTCAGTCCTTGTTGATCAAGCATAACCTGAAGAAATATTAGCACATGGATAACAAAGAAAAATTTATTTACATGGAAAAATAACCCAGGTATCACTTTTGAAAGCATCTACATCATATTTATTACTTTATAAATAAAATATACCTTGCATGATGTTATAGATCCAAACTCAGAAAATAATTCCTTCAGTTTTTCATCATCAATTTTGTCATCAAGATTTTTTAAATACAGGTTGGCCGCCTTCAGTTTCTCATATCTGCTATTTCTTTCCTGTTCAAACCTAGCTTTCAACTCTGCCTCCCTTTCTCCTTTCCTCTGGGCCCTCCCCACATACCAAACCTTATCATTGAAAGTGGTCCCGTTCAACTTCTCAACAGCAGCAGCAGCAGAATCTGGGCTCTGGAAGTTCACAAAACCAAAACCTTTGGACTTCCCACTTTGGTCCTTCATAACAATTGCACTGGTGATGGCACCATAATTGCTGAAGAATTTCTCAAGGTCCTCATCAGAAGTTGTCTCCGACAAATTCTTAACATAAACATTTGTAAATTTTGGTGATCCAGTGGCCTCAATCCTTTCTTGGTGTCGAACAAAACGTCCAACATAAACTTCTTTATCATTTATCAGCATACCGTTCAACCGATTGATTGCACTTTGAGCAGCTTCCTCATTTTCAAACTGTACAAAACCATAACCTTTTGATTGACCATTGTTGTCAACAGCTACCTTGCAGGAAAGGACAGGCCCAAAGGAAGCAAATGTTTCCTGCAATGCCTTGTTATCAATTGAAGTGTCCAGGTTCTTGATAAAGACATTTGCATGTCCACTCTTCCTCATACTGGGATCACGATGGGAAACCATAATTCTGATAGCTTTCCCATTCAAAGGGGTGAAGTTCAGAAGCTCCATTGCATTTGCAGCTGCAGTTCACAAAACCAAATTCAGGATCAAAATGCTGAGAAGGGATTGAGGAAAATGACGTGTGCCCTCATACTTCAAGTCACAGGGACAGAATCTGTACACATATATCTAAATTGACAGTTACATAAACTTAGGTGTGCAACATTCAAAAGGTGTGAGGAAGGCTGGCAGAGAAGGGTATCGGAAATATTGGATAAGGCTGGGAAAAAACCAGGGAGTTGTTGTTCACAGTGGCTGGCATTCATGGGTTGTGCACAAAAAAGTTTCAGAATTTTTTCTTAGAAACCAAGAAACAGAAAAAATCAAGCGTCAATAAATAAAACTCCAATTTCCCCTGTTTCTCCTAACCTTTGCATTAAAAAAAATAATTAGATTGATCTTAATAACTAGGAAAACTATAAATAGATTGACACCACTCAGTACAAAAAATAAATTAAATTAAATTCTCAGAACTGATGCATGCACGCACGCATTGATTAACAATAAAACATGAAAACAAATTAGTATCAGGGACTAAAAACAAGAGCCAAAGAATCGTATAAAAGGCGAAAAAAAGTTACCATCTTGAGGATTGCTGAAATTGACATAAGCATAACCAAGTGAGGCTCGTCGAGCCTGATCCCTACAAACCCTGATGGAAACAACCTGCGCCACCTGGCTAAACAGATCAAACAGTTGTCCTTCGTTAACGTTATGCTCCAGATCCCCAACGTAAAGCGAAGAATTCGGAAACTGCCCTGCTTCAGCCGTTCCCGCTGTAGCAGCCACTGCCGCTGGTTGAGCCGTAACCGCTGGTGCCGCAACTGCTGCCGCCATCACTTTCTTTCTTCTCTGAAAGAAAAGGAAAGGGGATGAAATTGAGATATAGTAATGCTAGGGTTTGAGAATGGGGATGGAGATTGAAGAGAAGTAGAGTTCTTTGTTTAAATGGAATCAATTTTTTTTTATTTTTATTTTTTTGGGTTTGTTTCCTCTTTGGAAAGGGAGAGGTGGAGTAAGGAGAGTGAAAGGAAAGGGAGGCCGAGAGAGTTTATATATGTGAGGGAAAGGAAAGAGACAGGAACAGTTTCTTCCAAATCTTTTGTTTTGATTTGATTCGTTTAATAAATTAAAAACCTTTTTCAAAAAAAGAACCGCAGGTGTGAGTTGGTTGTTGTTTGTTGGGGAGATTCATGACGTGGCATTCTATTCAAGGCTTTGTTTGTGCCGGTTACCCCTGCAAGTTGTTTCTTTCCTCGGATGGGCTTTTTTTCTTTTTTTATTACGGTCTTCTTTTATTTATTTATGTTTAATTTGATGGATGCGCGCCTTCCGCTCTGGTTTCTTCGAGGCGTTTTTTTTTTTTAATATGAAAATCAGCATATTTTAATAAAAAAGAAATAAAATAAAAATATTTTAAATAATAGAAGTATTAAAATATTAAAGTTTAGAATTATGATATTTTAAAAGAATTACGGTTCTCACAAATTTTATTTGATTTTGGAGTAGCGCGTGTAGTTCACGCCAGTTGCTATTGTAGCTTTTTCTTGATGTTTGTTTTTTTTTTCTCATCTATTTTTTAATCTAAATGTGCTGTTTTTAAAATAATAATAATAATAATAATTAATCTACGCTATTTCTTCTAGACTTTCTAAAACATGTATTAAAAAGTAAGGACATCCATGTTTCTTCAGGGGTGAAAAGGGAAATTAAAATTGATCCAGAAAAGTAAAAAGAAAAAGGGAAAAAGCTACAGGAACGCGAAATGGGTGATATTTGATTGAGTGATATTACAGTGCATAGTACTTTTTACAAATAATTTATATTTTAAAATATATCAATTAATTTTTTGTATTTTTAATATTAACACATCAACATTATTAAAAAATAAAAAGAAGATGTTTTTCATTTAAAAAAATAAAATTAATATTTTTTATATGTTTTTAAATAATTTGATGTGATAATGTTAAAAATAAAAAAATTATTTTAATATATTTTTAATTAAATTTAAAAAATTTCAAAGCATCATTCAGAGCATGAAAAGCCCCCGAGGACCGTGTACTCTAAAGTCTAAAACTAGAGACTGTAGTGGAGGGGTGCATAAAAAGTGCCCTTAGTCCTTTGTCAGTAAGAAACTGTTTGGAAATGGAATTAAAACTAACTTCTTTTAAATTTTTAAATTTTATTTATTTATTTTTTTATATTTTCAAAATAAATATGATGGTTTTAAAACTAATTTTTTAAAATAAAAAAATATTATTTTAATATATATTTTTTTAAAAAAATTTTAAACCACTATAATAATTCTAAACCTATGAATTTTACAATCTTAACCCGATTCTGTTGCGACTACGTTTACCAGCTGCTCCACCATCTCGACGTCTTCAACGTCCCCGTCTTCTTCTCTGCAGTTTACTGTTTATAGATTAGAATTGGAGAAGAAAGTAAGAAGCAGGCAAGCAGAAAATGGCAATTCCATTATCAAATTTCTTAAGAGCTCTCTTCCTTGTAATGGGATGTTTAATGGGGGGTACTCTTGTCTACACAATCTACGTCAATGGCTTCCCATTTCGCAGAGACCTCCTCACCCCGTAAATAAAATTAATACACACACTGCCTCTCACTCATTTCTTTGAGGTCAAACACTCTCTTTGCAGTTTCAGAGTTATGTTGTAGTATAAATAACTGAAAATTCTATTTCTTTTTTATGTTGCAGGTGGATGCTTGCTACTTTAGTTGATTTCTACATCAACGCTATAGCTGTAGCGGTGCATCTAACTTTCTATTTATTGGCTCTGGTTATTAAGCTAAGAACATGGCATGGTTTGATTGAGAGACTTGTCTGCTGATTATCAATTGGGCTTGGATTGCCTACAAAGAATCTAACTTTATTACTGCAACAATTTGAATACTTCTGCTAGCATGCTTTGGCAGTTATGTCCTGTAGTTATTGCACTTTAGTTTTTGTTCCATCAAGTGCAAATCTCTTCAAGAACCTTTTTTTTCTTAAAAAGAAGAAGCTCTTTAAGAAACTAATTCAAACGTGGTAGTTGTTGTTGATAGAAATAGAAGTAGTGTCAAAAGGTTACTTCTTTAAGGTAGTCTTGCCATATATTGTCAGGCTTTGTTGTCTAGTTTTTTTTATCAATATTTTCAGTATTACAACGCGTGTGTACATTTTTATCCAATTTCTCAAGTTGTCACCTGAAGAATTTTTGCAAGATCCGGTGTATCGTGTGCTATTGCGGCATGAAAGCAAGCATGTGATTCGAATTTCTGGTTTCTAGAATGATGCAGTAAGGCTGGAATATTATTAAAATAATGTAGTAAGGTTTACAGCCCATATAGGACTTGGAAGTCATTCAAGTTTCTATTTTGCTCCTTTCAGTTGCTCAAAGCTTGTGTCTTGTGTGTGTGTGTTGCTTTTGTAGAAGCAGAGAACCATGCGCATAACCACTTTTGATCACATTGGCTTCCCTAAATCAGCAGCCTTTGAAATGGTAAAAAGTACGCTCCAAAGCTTAAAATTCTACTCCCAACATTTCAATTCTGTATCTGGCATTTGTTGCCATGATGCGAAGAATGCTGCAAGTTTTTTTTTAATTTTTTGTGCACACCCCTTTATCTGATGATAGAATGCTTGAATGCTTCTATTCGTAAGTAAAAACTTGGTTTCAAGTGGAAAAACACGCATGTCTATGTTGATGTGTGAAATTTATGATTGTCTTTAAGGGTGGGGAATTTTTCATAGAAACTGGAGGTTTTTCTTCATAGACATTAATAGCGGGAGTCTGGGTGGGTGCTTTACTGCTTAGAAAGGTTGAACATCTTCTTTCATAGTTTTATTGCCATTTTACTGGGTGCTTTACTGCCATTTTATAGTTTTATCGCTCTGATTTGTAATCCTGTTCTAACATGACTCAATTCTGGTTAGGAATCTTTCGGAAGGAAGAGAATATCTTCCATAGCACCAGGAACACGATTCCTTGCTTTTCTTTTGGTGGTTATTCTGTTTTGCTAGTCCATTCATGCCTCATCTAAAACAGACACAACAAGCTATACAGATTTCTCCGTCTCTCCCTTTATGTAATAGTTGCTCATGCATTGACAAACAAACTTACTTTTAGGGGCGTGGAACAAAAGATGAAGCAATCTGCTGTCATGAGTACAAGGATTGCTTTCAGTGTTCTAGGTTTTCTGATGTTGGGAACTTTGATTTACACCCTACTAACTGATGGTTCTCCTTTTCGCAAAGAGCTTCTTACTCCGTAAGTTTATAGTTTCCTTTTATCTCTTTCCATTTCATTTACCCACCTGCTGAGTATGTTACTAGATAAAGGCGTTTATGCAGCTGAATTCAGCTCCCTATAGTTGAAAAACATGAGTTGTTGATTCGAATCACTCCATGGGAAAAAGGGAAGGCCTGGTCCCAGTGATGAGCTTCTTTTCAATTAGAAAGTCTTCTCATTGGCCTTTGTTTTGGAAGGGGCAGGGAAGAAAGCTATGAAGAGATTTCACTGATTCTTTAAATGTTGTTTATATCTAATCATTAGTTTTTGTTTCCTTTCATTCTTTAGAGATATTTGCTACTTTTTCCTCGCATGAAATTGCTTGTATAATGCATTTTTGCAGGTGGATAGTTGCAACACCAATTGAATTCTATATCAATGTTGTGGCTCTCTCGGTAGGTGTAAATTCCTGCTCCCTTATTCTTGAAGTTAATCTTTCAGAGCTTGTTTAACTTGTGCGATTCATGGGGTACTCAGTACATTTTATTTATTACAAGAAATTCATAGCAGTCATGTATGGACTGTATGGGCAATGATGTACACCTTATACTTGTATCATTCCCACAATCTCACAAGATTCTGATTTTCTTTTAAAAAATTGTTAAAGATCTTATGGGATATTAAAATTTAATGCTGGTTTAATTTAACAAGGGAATCATTTTAGATTTTGTGTTTCACTAGTTATCCTTGTGCATTTTCTTTCAAATGAATAATGTCCTTTTTTATGAATTTAGTTTTGGGTTGCCTGCAAGGAATCGAGTCTGATCAGTGGATTCTTATGGATATTGTTATTGATATGCTTTGGAAGGTGATATCTCATTCATGGCCTTGATCCTCAAATATAAAGCATGATTTGCTCTGTTTGTCAAAAAGTATAAGAATCGCCAGCAATTTTCAAGTCATGAAACATTATGAAATTAAAGTTGCTATAAGATCTGCAATTGCTTTATGTGATGTATAATCTATCTGCGGGATACAGGAATTTTCAGATACATATGGAAGGGAAATAAAATTTAATTGATAAAATGTATTATCCCTTTGCAATTTCCTTCCATGCTATTATCTTGGTGTCCAAACTTCATCTTAAAACCAGTAGAAACCAGTAGTAGTGTACGCCGCACTGCCGGGTCCAAAAGTTTTGGATAGCGATTTGATTCCAAAACTATATCATGTGATAAATAAAAAATTATTATTATAATAAATAGTATTTTATAAGAAAGGGAAAAGTCTAATTCCCTAAAGATCAGAATAATTTAATGAAAAATAAATAAAATAAATTATAAAATTTAATTTTTAATCAAATTGATATTGATAAATAAATTATAAAATTTAATTTTCAATCAAATTAATATTAATAGATGAAATTGAAAGAAAAAAACTAATTAAGAATTAGAAAAAAAAATCTTAATCAATTAGGTTAACCTGTTAACTTAGGTTAATCCATCAAATCTGAAATCCGTGTCATAAAAATATAATAACTAAATAGAAAAAATTAATATTAAAAAATTAAATTAAATAAAAAAAATTAATTTAAAAAAACCTATAACTAAAAAGCATTTGCCTTTCATTATAGATTTACATAGTAAATTTTTATGATGAAAGATTAATTCTTTTTAGTTATATAGTTAATTAGATAAACTTTATGATGTAAATAAATGGTGTATAATTAGGATGAAATGTTTACATAAAACTCAAAATTTATCTTTCCTTTTCCCTTTATTATTATGTTTTTTTACCTTATTTATTTTATTTTGTCTTTTACTTCTTTTTTACCTAACTTATCTTATAATGTATAATCTCATTTTATTTGTGATAGATTTTAAATTTAGTTCGGCAGGTTACCTCGAAACTCAGCTAACCTATTCTCTTACTTAAGATGGTTATAAAAAAATCAATTTTAACTTAGAATTTATTATATAAGTCAACTTATAACATGATTGATCTATTTAAATTTTAGTTTAACTTTAATTTTTTTATGCAAAACAACTCTATTTTAGTATTTTTATAAAAAAAAAACAATACTGTTTTGATTACCATATGTCAACTCATTCAACATGTTACCTGAGCTTTAGGTCGATTCATAAGTTAAGTCAATTTTAATTGTAAAAATACTCCCTGCTTATACTCGTTATTAAGTTTCTAATTATAGGTTCTTGTCATTGAAAATTAAAATAGCATAACTAATCCATATAATTATCTTATTGATCAGTGACTTGACTAAGTTAGGTTTCAATGATGTACTCAAACTTCGTTCAACATAATTATTTTTTTTAAATACAAATTTTTATCAATTTAAAATAGACAATTTTAGTTTTTTTTTTTTTATATTTTTAATCTTTATTTTGAGAAATAAAAAAGAAAATCATTGAATTTTTATGATAAAAAGATAAAATGATCATTTGCATCAATTTTAACTATCAAAAAGATCAATTTAAGTATTAACAAGTTTTATTCGGTTAATTTTTTTTTACTTATGTGTTTTTTTACTTATGTGTTTTTTTATTAATTTTAGGTTGATTTTAATTTTTAATATGATTTTTTTAGATTATAAATGAATTTATTAAAATGTCTAAAAAGTATTATGATATTTTGATTCAAAATAAGTTGAAAAATAAATTTTCAGGTAAATAACACTTGCAAACCAGCTGAAAATTTTTATTTAATTAAATTAAGAGACGTTTGCCCTTTGATAATTAGAAAAGAGAGGTGGATAATGCGTCTTTTGCTCATGTTGTTAGAAAAAAAAGAAAAAAAAAGACTCCGCTCATAGGCAGACCTTTTCATGGGCTTAGCATTTGGGTTAGGCTTTTTTATAGCCAAGCATGTAAGTAGGCCCACGTACCAAACATTTTTTTAATTTAAAATAATTCCAACTATTTAAAATTAAATAAAAAACACACCATATCAACATTTTTTTTTTTTTTAAGGTCTTTTTTATTTGATTTGAAGAAAAAAAATTGTTTTGTTATAAAACTTGAAAAAAATTAATACTATTTTTTTAGTTTCACACACAATATTTTTTTTTTGTTTTTTTAAATTGTTGTTTTATAATAAAAAAAAGTCTCATGCTCTCTATTAATATATAATGAAATAAGAAATAATTTTAAAAATAAAAAAATCATTAAATCTAAAAAATGCATGATGTAAACTGCGGGTTAATGAAGGTAATTTTAGCTAATTTAGTTTTTTTCTTAAATATATATTTTTTTAATTTTATTATTTAATTTCCCTTCGCATTTATTATATATATATATATAAAAAAAAGCGTTGAAATAGCCTACAACGAATAAAAATCTGGCCCACAGGGACACCTATCCTGCGTGCTTATAGTCTCATACTTATCCCCAAAAATCGCAGACCTGGCGTCGCTTTGTCTCGACTCTCGATCGTATAGTAGTGATTTTCTTTTTCCATTTTAGAGAAAATACAAGTTTAATAACACAGAAGAGGAGAAGAAGAAGAAGATGCAGATCTTCGTCAAGACATTGACTGGCAAGACCATAACTCTCGAGGTCGAGAGTAGCGACACCATCGACAACGTCAAAGCCAAGATTCTTGTATTTTTTCTTCTTCTTAACTCACTTTTCTTTTGATTAAATTGCTTATCTCTATTATTGCATCTAAATTTCTATTGGGTCTCTCTATTTTGACGGGAAGATTGTTTCTTGATTAATACTCTTTTTTTTTTCTCTGGTTTCGTTTTTGTGGTTGTGATTATCTGTAGGATCCCAATAATGTTTGTTGTTTCTCATGAGTTAAGGCTTTGGATTTTGTTTATTGGACTAATTTTGGCCTTGTATTTAATGGGTTTTGCTCTCTAGTAAAAGCTTGCACTAACCATATTCTATAAGTGAAAGTTGTTTTAGGATTAGCGATCATATAACTGATAGATTAGAATAGTTGTGAACTGGAAAATCCAGTGGAAATTATCTCAAGCTGTACTTAATAGCTGTCTGCTCCTGTTGTTTTTGTAATGTTTCGTAGTGTGTGTTAGCTGTGATATTATTTACCTGCAAACATGAAAAATTAAATCCATTTTGTATTTTTTGAAACCAATAAATCGATAAAGGTTTGGCCAAAAATATTCAATTAGTGTCAGCAGTAACTTGTTGGTGTTATTTTTGGTTAAGTTGCTTTGGGCCTTCAGTGGTTTGTGTCATGTTGCTTTATTATGAGTTGCTGAACCCATGTCTGACTGTTGGTGGATGTACCTTTTACAGGACAAGGAAGGCATCCCTCCTGATCAGCAAAGATTGATTTTTGCCGGTAAACAATTAGAGGATGGACGTACTCTTGCTGATTACAACATCCAGAAGGAGTCCACTCTTCACCTGGTTTTGAGGCTTAGGGGAGGAACTATGATCAAGGTGAAGACTCTCACTGGAAAAGAAATTGAAATTGACATTGAACCAAATGATACCATTGATAGGATCAAGGAACGGGTTGAGGAGAAAGAAGGGATTCCTCCTGTGCAGCAAAGGTAGCAATTTGATCCTTTTTGGTTTGATGATTGTCCTCATTCGGGCCACCATTTTCATGTAATTTAATATGCTATCGCGATATGTTTTCTCATGTGTTATGGAAGCAATATGCAGTAACGATGGGGATCATCCAAGTACAACCTTGTTAGCCACATGCTTAGTTTATCAGTAACATGGGGACTTGTTAGTGTGTCGCAGTAGTAATATTACCTGGTTTCTTCTATGCACCGTGTTGCATTTTAAAAACTTTCGTTGGATGACACACCAATGAGGTTTCATAATATTACCTGGTTTCTTCTATTCACCAAGTTGCCTATTTAATACTTTTGTCTGAATGACAGACGACGATGAGGTTTTATCATAATCACATTCCTTTAATTAACACCTTCTGCTGGTTGCAGGCTTATTTATGCTGGCAAGCAGCTTGGAGATGACAAGACAGCGCGCGACTACAATATTGAGGGTGGCTCCGTGCTTCATCTTGTTCTTGCTCTGAGGGGTGGTTGTCTCTGAATTGCGCTCATGATGTTACAAAAATCTACCTATCGAGGCTTCTTACATGCAAGTACTTTATGGATGTACTTTTTGGCCTGTGACTGTGGATAACATTGGTATATGAGAATTCACAAGAAATATGCAATGCCTGCTCTAATTGTTTACACCTGCACAACGAGCATATTTCTTTTTAGCTTTTTACTATTAAATATGCATGTGCTTGGGTGGCTATGTTTGAGGACTCTAAAATTGATGATGCGAGGGAAATTGATTGTTCTTATTGATTTATTTGGAGTTGCTGGGAGTTTCGTGATCTGATCACCACATTTTCTGGTGTTTATTGGCCCTGTTTGGCATGGGGGGCAATTTTTTTTTTAATGTTTTTGAATTATTTTGATGAGTTGATTAAAAATATTTTTTAAAATAATTACTATCTAAATATCAGATATTACTTACGGAATTAGAGTACGAAGCCACTGACACTCAAATTCCCCACCTAATTATGGATGGCCGGCGGTTGTAGTTTAGAGTTTGTTTTGCAGTGTAGTTTTGGTTGTTTAAATAATTTTTTGTATTAAAATATATATTAATAATTTTTTATTTTTTAAAATTATTTTTAGTATTGATATATGAAAATAATTTGAAAACAATAAAAATATATTAATTTAAAATAAATAAAAAAATAATTTTTTTAAAAATTTTTCAAAAATATTTATAAATCACATAAATAATAAACCCATTAAATTAGATTATTTGTTTCTAAAGTCATCTGTTAATATTAAAAACTTCCAGCGCTTGAACATAAGAATTTTTTTATCAAGTTTACTATTTGACACGACCTCATTAAACCATACAGCCGGCCAACGATAATTAAATATAAGGAGCTCAAATCACAAGTTGATAACCTGTTAATCTTTAATCTCATAATTATAGCTATAAAATTAAAATAATTTTATTAAAAATACATGAAAAATAATTTTTAATTAATTAAATGTTGAATAAAAATATAAATAAAAAAATGTCACCTATTATCCGGTACTTCACATTGGGGTGAGTAAAAAAATTAATTAAACAGAGAAAATAAAAAAATAACTGAAAAACTGAGCAGTGAAAAAACCAATTAGAATTATTAAAATTTTAAAAAAACTAATTGGTTCAATTTTGATTTTATAAGCTCGAAACAAAAAAACCATATCAAATTAAAAAAACCGAGTCAAATCAAAAAACTAGAGCCAAACTACAAAAAACCAGCTTTTATTTTAAAATAACTAAACCAAACTAAACTGAAACCAATATTTGAATTAATTTTAATTTTTTTTAAAGCTAATTTAGCTGTTTTTTTTTTAATAAAAACTGAATTAAATCAAACATAATATCTCTAATTAGCACAATCCCTCTCATTCACATTCACATGATAATAGCAGGACTTCCTCGCCACACTCATGAGTGTATATAGAAAAGATATACTATTACTATTTCTACAACCTCTTGGATTTGCAAGTCGTGTAAATGTTAAAAATCAATTCAAGTAACTCTTAATCCAACCAAAAAAAAAAAAAAAGGTGGGGGGGTTTTGGAAAAATGGCACCGCTCGCCCTGGGAAAAAGAGTGTTAGAGTGCATACTTGCCCATACACACTTGAGCAAGTTTTGAAAAATAATTTTTAATTAATTAAATGTTAAATAAAAATGTAAATAAAAAAATGTCACCTATTATCACCGGTACCTCATGTTAGAGGTGAGTAAAAAAATAAAACAATTAATTAAACTAAAAAAATAAAAAAATAAAAAAATTAATTGAAAAACCAGACAGTGAAAAAACCAATTAGAATGATTAGAATTTAAAAAAAACCAATTGGTTTAATTTTGATTTTATAAACTTGAAACAAAAAAAACTATATCAAATTAAAAAAATTGAATCAAACTAAAAGCTTGAGCCAAACTACAAAAAACCAGCTTTTATTTTAAAATAACCAAACCAAACTAAACTGAAATCAATATTTAAATTAATTTTAATTTTTTAAAAACTAATTTAACTACTTTTTTAATAAAAACTGAATCAAATCAAACATAATATCTCTAATTAGCACAATCCCTCTCATTCACATTCACATGATAATAGCAGGACTTCCTCGCCACACTCATGAGTGTATATAGAAAAGATATACTATTACTATTTCTACAACCTCTTGGATTTGCAAGTCGTGTAAATGTTAAAAATCAATTCAAGTAACTCTTAATCCAACCAAAAAAAAAAAAAAGGTGGGGGGGTTTTGGAAAAATGGCACCGCTCGCCCTGAGAAAAAGAGTGTTAGGGTGCATGCTCGCCCATGTACACCCGAGCAAGTTTTCCTGTGCTTGCCTTTCGAACTTGGTTGAGAAACTCAGCATGGGTTAAGACGAGTTAACCCAAGTTATTTAGCCTAATCCATCCTTTCTCTCCCTCAATAATTTTAGTTTATGTATATTTTTTCAGTATCTATTTTCTTACAAACAATCTCATCGTGTCTATAAAAGTATACAATAAAAATATTCTCAAACTCACACTCTTTGTTTATACTGGACAACAAAACAATCAATCAAGACGACCTTTTCTATAACCAATGAATCTCCCTCTATGGCTTCACAAGCAAAGAATCTGTAATGGTGATCAGTCTTGCAGGCTGAGACGTCTGATCTTCATCTTGGGTAAGGAAAGCCATGGAACATGTATTTTAAAAAAGGATCCCAATTGCTAACGAGATATCAGAACACTCATTTATCGACTACACACGAAAACACCATCACTTCTTGACTCTTTTTTTTTTACTTGCGTTCTACTTGAAAAAATTAGAAACTCGAGCATCACAAGAAGTTTGTTCTGCAAGTAACATCAATACGCACCAGTTTGTTGTAGTTTTTGACTCTGTATATGCATACAGCGATAACAATGTTACTCGAGCTAGTTTTTTATTATATTTATATTATATTTATTATTCTCATGATAAAAAAATTAAATATTTATATTTTAATCAATATATTTATTTATTTATTGAGGTGTGCATATATTAAATGACAAGATTTTAAATATTATATCAATATTATAAAACCAAAACTTTTCTAGTGGGTCAACTCTAAATTTAGCCATGTTCGGATTTTATAAAAAATAAAAAAAATTAATTGACTAAGTTCACTTATGAAACCTAATAAAAATATCAGTTGACTTGTTTATTTTATTTTTGAAAAGTTACAAAGATGTTATTTAAGAAAAAAAAAGATTAATTGAGGTTAATTCTTAATCTATTATTTGAGCTTGGTTCTCGAGTTGAATTTAATAACTATGTATTATATATAAATATGTGCTATGTGTAATAATTATATATTGTATTATATTTAAAATTATAAAAGTTCTACATATACATTTATATGATACAGATATATTAGGTTTAGATCGGGTTTGACAGTAAAAATTCCCTATTCATCACACACCAAGTAACTCACATATTCGAGTCCGTTCGAATAAATATCAATCAAATTAGAATGAAATTGTTGTCCCTACACATGCATGCTCGATCCTTCTACAATTTCCTTTTTTGTGTGAAAATGTACTCCAATAAGCCACTTATTAAGGATCTGATTCTTGCCAGCAATTGGAGGGTTGGATTTTAAGAGAGAGAATGGGTGCTTTGCAGTTTGGCCTCCATGGCTGTTCTCAGAGATTCTTTCGCTCGTATAAGCATGCATCTTCTCCACCCAGTGAAAAATTTGATTCTTGCTAGTTCAGAAGAGGAGAAGGTCAAGAAAACGTTCTTCTGCAATGGACAGGCCATGGCGTAACAAAAACTGATCAAATTTGACAGGCACAAATGATATCAGTAAGAATTTATTGATGGTGTATTTTAGCATTCAAACTCCACAATTACGATCATTTTAACAATAATTAAAAAAAAAGACCTTCATCCATATATAATAATAGCATTCTCTACAGTAGCCAAAGGTAGAATAACAATACTGTCTCCACCACAAAAGGCAACGCCACCACCAAATGGAGGATCAAGCTCGTCCCCACCTGTCCATCTATGACATTGCCTAACCAGGCTCACTATCTAGAAATGCCTATGTAAAAAACATTGAAGGATTCCCAGGAGAAATTCGAAACAATAACCGTCACGAATGAGATCTTTTAACTGGAAGCAGCAGAAGCCTTCAATTCTGACATGAATCTAAAAACACTTCTCTTTTATCAGGACAAAGAGAATCTGAAAGCAGTTCATCCTAGGTTGGATTCTACAGTTTTAGACTCAGAATTTATCATACCAAAAACAATACTGCCTGTTAGAAATGGCATCGACACTCAATGATGTCTCAGCATCAAGAGCTCAGTGTACAACGTGTACAAAAATAACGTTCGAGAAAATGGCTAAAAATCACAACCAAAAAATGATAAATGAGCCAACCACGAGCACCAAGATGAATCTGTTCAATCTATCCATAATTTAGCATGCACAGCCACCTCTTTGCTCATTATCTGTGACATCCTCTGGGATACTCTGGAAGTATCTGCATTTAAAATAAAAGGAATGGGCATTGAAAAAGCTCATTAATAAACGTTTTGGATGAGTCCATATATCATTGAAATGTTAGAAAGGAAGAGTGTACAAGCACTAAATTTAAATCAAGGATTTAGGGTTCTAAAATAAGACAAATCCAAAAGGTTTTACTTACAAATGAAAGCATGACAAGAAGAACACATCCCATGGAAAGCATAACTTACAAATGAAATCATAATAAAAAGAACGTGTCCCATGGAAACTGAATGGGTCCATATACAGTTCAAATTTCTAGTAAATCTTGGTCACCGCCTCACCATACAAAAATACATCGTATATTAATAATAAGCATCAGTACAGAGAATAGCACATAAACACACTAACAAAACTGATGGCAAACCATCCTAGGCTGTAGATCCTAAATATCGATAGCAACTATTTTAAAATAACATATCACGAAACTAATGGGCAACCATCTTGAGATGTATATCCTAAATATTAATAGAAAACAATTGGAGGAAAAAGTGCAAGCATGATTGCAATCACAAATCACACAACTAAGAGACCCTAAAATTTTGAACTCTAGATATCATGTTCTGTGGGGAACAGAAGTATCTTGTCCCAGAACTCAGCATTTAACACAAAACCATGGAAGAAACATCATGAATGGAAGGATATCCAATCTTCTTGAGATACTACTAAATGCCACTCCATCAGCTTGAAAAAGAAGAAGACAACAAAGCCTTCTATTCCTAGCATGACACTTTCCAGAAGCTTAGTTGATTATTTTCTATGGTTGCAAACAAAAGCTTCGAAACATTGTGGAACTTCCTGGTTAAGCACTTTTCTATCATTATAGAGATTTGGGAGTTAGTGTGAAAAGAAAGCTAAGAAGGAATTTTAGGAAAAAAGAAAAGAATAAAGTGACTTCGGAGAGAAAATCCAGCACATGACACAAGAAGATAAGACACACAACAAGAACCTAATAATTTTATATCCCTTTTGTTTTCTGAAATCTTGTGCTTCTGCACTTTTCATTTATTAAACCAAATAATGTAAAACAAGAAAGAATAAAGTCACGCGCACAAGATTCTCTTTTTTCCCCCCTGATAGGTAGAATATGCAAGATTTAAAAGCAGCCAAAAATTGTTCAAGAGTAACACTAAGAACAAAAATGACAATAGCCTAAAGTAATTTAAAAAAGAAGAAATAAATTAGAAAAGAGAGAGGAGCAATACAGAGCCATAAACAGAGTTTTATGTGGCTTCTATCGGTCACGGTTATCGTTATCGTGAATTCTTTAGCAATTCTTAGCGAACCTTAATAATATATGCTTTTCTAATAATTTTGCCAAATATATACAATAATAACACTTCTAGTAGATAAAAGTCATAAACAACATACTATAACTATTAAAAAAGATGAAAATATGAACTTGAAATACAAAATATAGTAAAAAATCAATTTTGCTAGTGGACTGTTATTGGGCTGTATTTTCAATATAACAGCCATTACTTTGTGAATCGCCAATAACAGTACTATAACACTGAAGAGCAGTAATGGAGTGCTCTGATTCAGTTAAATAACAGCCGTTACATAATATAATGGCCATTATTTAAAAATATGGCCATAAAAAAGACCAGAGATGCTGATTGTGACATAACAAGTTCTTTCTTCTCTTTGAAATGCTTTCTTGCCAGCACAAACCATGCATCAAGCAGCTCAGAAGCATCCAAGCTACACATACCCCTCACCACCTCTTACTAACCATCAATACCACCACATACCACAAGCAAAGATGCAAGCAAGACCAAGCAGAATTGACATTGAAACAATTCTTTGAGAGCACACCAAAATAACTCAATAAGTAAATATAAATGCTCAGTTCCAATCAGGGTTAAATTTTGGTTTAAGAGGTGATGGTGCTATGCCCTCCATACATTTTCTACAAAATTAATAGTTTTAAACCATTTCCTAACGTGTTCCAATAAAGACTTCCCTTTAAGATTCTTTGTTGTTAATCATGACTTCTGTTTAATTCTGATTTTGGTTGCGTGAAGACCTGATGGCATCTCATTTCTTGACATCAAATCAGCAATCCTTTTTTTTTTCACACGAACTTATTGCTGTAGTTAATAGTTATTACAGCTTACATTGCTTATATATGGTGCTAATACAATCCAAACAAGAAATCAGCAGACAATTCAAACTTACATGTCCTGTCCATGCTCATTGGCTAGAGCAGTTTTCGCAATGGATAAGAATGCAAGATCAACATTGTAATCTTCCTTTGCTGACGTCTCAAAGTAAAGTATGTTTCCTTTTGACGCACACCAGTCCTTAGCTTTCTTCTCAGAAACCTGCACACAATAAATGTTAGACCAGGGGCGAGTAAAGAAAAGTGAATTTACCAGGACCAAACTGTACATCCTTACCACTCGGCTATTTCCACCATCAATATCTATCTTGTTTCCAAGCAATATAAACGGAAATGCCTTGGGATCAGATGGATTTGCCTAGGATAGAATAGGAATGAAAATCATGTTAAATTGGAAAGAGAACAACAATGTCAAAAAAAAAAAAAATTAGCAGCTAACATGTTGCAAACCATAAACCCAGGAAACGGCAGGCAAGTGACGAAATAGGTAGGATTACCCGAATCCATTATATAATATTAAATGCCCAGTCAATTAAATTGGTTCACCTTTACCAAGTTTGATAAATTTAGGCATTTCCACAAAAGCTGTCAGTATCCTTGACAAATTCCCTAGGAAAAGCAAAATGTTTCTATTCGTTAACCACCAAGCAACAGACTTATTATCTTTACACAAACTCCTAGCAAAATCCACTCAGATTTTAGAGAACCCCACTGAAGCAAGGCCTGAAAAAATAAATCATCTTAATTTGGTCTCCTGTATGCTTATTTCAGAGTCGAGCAACAGAGTTGGAGTGACTAAATAGAGCATTCCAAGAAAGACTAAAATATCTAACATAAAAGGAAACCTCCTACACCATGGACCATTAGCATCAGTATAATACTCGGAAATCATCACTTCCCTCGTTACTGAAACTGGACCCAATTGCATGTGATGAAAATTCCATATGCCCCAATCCATTGGTACAATCCAAGTAATATGGAGCATTCCAAAAGAGACCACAGTATCCAGTATAAAGGGAACAACCCCCTACGCCCCAATTCACTAGCAGGACTGTGTTACCTAAACATTATCAATATCCCTTGGTGCTAATATCCACACAAGCCCATCACATCCCAACACATAAGTTAGAAAAAAAAAATGTGATTTACAAAATCATCATTCAAAAAAAATCCTGTAGAAGACAGAAACCCCAAAGCATAAGACACCAGAAAAAACCCAAATATCCACCAGCCCATCACATCCCAACACACAAGTTAGATGAAAAAAATAAAAAACAATTTGATATGCAAACTCATCATTCAAAAAAACAGATCTTGCAGAAGACAGAAACCCCAATGCAAACGACACCAGAAAAAAACCTTTGGTGATGTTCAATTCAATAAGATTCAGAGCCTGTCAATGTCCATCAAAAGAATCAATCAGATGTGCAGGGATAATTTGAGGAACCAAGAAGCCTTAAGCACCTATATACATCTGTGTTACAGCAGCTTTGACAAGTGAGTGGACAGAACGCCACTTTTAACTAGTTTATCATTATAATTTATTTTATCTGTTGCAGTCATTAAAAAGTTTCCCTAAAAAGATAAAGTGATGGCTAATTGTCTAGCAAACCATTTACTGATCGCATAAGAAACTCCAACTTTATCAAGGCTGTGATAATAAATTCCAGGGGCAGAAGAAGGCAGTCAGCCATTCTCCAGAACTGCTGTCACAGCCAAGATTATGAGCAAGTAGCACAGGCCAACTTAATCCACTACTTTATTTTACTACCATAAACACGTGACACTTCCCAATACAGACACTAAATACTCAAACCTGTATCGACAAATGGTAAGGAAAAAAATCGTTGATAGAAACACTGAAGAAAAGCAACGGTGAACCTGTTTAAGGAACTCTTCGTGCCAGTTGTCAAGGGTATCGAATGATCTCATGACATTCACATCATAAACTAGAACGCAGCAATCTGCTCCTCTATAAAATGCAACTCCAAGTGACTGAAATCTTTCTTGCCCAGCCGTGTCCCATATCTACACGCATAAATACCAGTATTTTTAGCAAGCATTCTTGCAGACATTCCGAAACAGAAAACTTTTATTAATAGAGCTAGAAAACCCACTTGCAGAGTGACAAGCCTGTCATCAATCAGGAGTTCTTTGGTAACGAAATCGGCACCAATTGTAGCCTTGTATTGCTGACTAAATTTCTTGTGCACATATCTGAGTTGTCGATTAAGAAATCCACATCCCATTCCCATTCCCATTCCCGAAAAGAAGCGCATAACATACCATAAATTTCTATATAATCAGTAACTAAATTTGTTAAAAAATACTAAAAACATCAATTAAAATGCAGGTTTAATAGATCAGAGAAAAGCCAAATCTAATAAAGAGGATACTGATTCATTAACGACGTCTTGCCAGCCCTGACGATCACAGACAACATTCACAATACGAAATTAGATTTTGTTTCTAAGGAAATGTATGTGTACAAATCTCAATAAAAAACCTAGAAATCGTACCCGCTGTCCCCGAGAACGATGACCTTGAGCAAGGTACGCCTACGCGCTGACATGCCGCTCTTTTTTTTAACGGTCACCAATTATACTGCTAGTACGGAGTATGAAATTCAAATCGGAAAAAGAGACAGTTTTCCACTTCCTTTTTTTTCCACTGTTTGCGAGAGAGGAGATTGAAAGGTACAGGGGGAAAAAGGGGCTCCAATTTCGATGTGTTCTTTTTGTTATATCCGAGATGGAAAAGGAATTTATTTTCCTTTGAAGTTTTTTCTTGGGTCCTGATGATATCATTGTCATCGTCTTCGAGTTTCTTTCTAGTGCATGCCGACAATATATGTTAATAATAATAAATCAAAAATAAATTCGGATAATAATAAATATAAATATAAATATAAATTTGCTTTAGATTTTTATAGAGTATAAAAAATGTTTTGATAATAATAAATATAAATATAAATATAAAATTGCTTTAGATTTTTATAGAGTATGTTTATTTTTACATATACAAAATGTTTTTTAAAAAAATTATTTTAAATTATTTTTATATATTTTTAAATCATTTTAATATACTAACTTCAAAAGTAAATATTTTTAAAAATAATTATAATAATAATCTCAAAAAATATTTTATAACATGAACACTTAGCTTTTATATCGTTTTCTTTTTTCCCCAGCATGCCATCATGGAGCTTAAGGCTGGGGGGCCTGTTCTTTCAATGGTGCTTTTTATGAAACCTTTTTACGTGTCCATTTATGTTTAATCGTGGTACAAAAGATTTTCTATATTGCCATCTTTGCTATAAAAATTATTTTTTGATTATTTTATTATTTTATTATTTTATTTTATTTTGTTATTTTCTTGTCCTCATATGTCAATTTATATCATAATTTTCTTAATTCTTAATTTTTATATTTTCAGAATCATTTTGGTATATATTAATTAAAATCAAATTATTTTAATCATATTTTAAATTAATCATCAACAGTTATTGAGTTAATGAAAATTTCTTTATCTACCATATTACTAGGAAGAACTAACTCCCTTGTTATTTGAAATTAACTTTAATGGTAATTTGTCACTTTTTTTTTACCGATAAAGTTTTAAAAATTTAAATTTTAAGTTGAATAATCTGTTAATCAATTAATCCTAAAAATCTTATTTACTCCCTTGTTATTTGAAATTAACTTTAATAGTAATTTGTCACTTTTTTTATCGATAAAGTTTTAAAAATTTAAATTTTAAATTGAATAATCAGTTAATTAATTAATTCTAAAAATTTTATTCATTTTTCATAGCTAAAATAATTGAAATTTGTATTTAGTGCTTGGTAAGTGAATGTAGCTTGTGACTTTTACCTACAAAAAATCATATTTAATGAAAATGAAGACTCTTCAATACTTAAATAAATATATTTTTAGAGAGAAAAAATATAGTGATATTTTAGATAGAGATATTCTAAAAATATAAATGCAATGTAGAATAAATATTGTAAATTTTTTTTCTAAATATCTCATGGTATATTTATAACCTATAAGTCTTGTCCTTTTGTAAAGAGAAAGGACTGAAGTGTAATTTTATCTTTGTGATATTTTAAGTTGTATTTCACTCATGTTATCTAGCTAAAAGATGGAGACATGACAGGCCATGAAAAACTTTAATACACCTAATGATTTTGATAAGGTGTAGACATGTTTAATTAACCTTAATTATTGAAAATAAATCCATTAAGATTTTATGTAAAACGCTATCAAGCCCATTAGTGGCGGGGCTTGCTATGGCCAAACCAAGCACGCCTACACTAGAGTGTGGTTGGTACTGACATGTGTCAGCCTAATGCACTTGAGGATTCATAAAAATTATACCTACATGTTTTTCTTGATTCAATATCAAGCACGCCTACACTAGAGTGTGGTTGGTGCTGACATGTGTCAGCCTAACGCACTTGAGGATTTAGAAAAATTATACTTACATGTTTTTCTTGATTCAATAGTTTTTGGTAAAAATATATAAAATATACTGATAAAATTTTGATTTATTAATAACCACTCAATCTTTGCGTATGCGAAGACTTTAATTAATCTCCCAATTCGTGTAGAGTGGTGAGTTTTGATTAAATAAAAAAGGGGTGGAAGGTAGAAAAAATACAAAATAATATGCCTATGGATTGAAAGAAATTCTTTCAGACATAAAATACAAAAAAGTTGTACTTAGAAAAATTCTAAGAGATTAAAGGGATTATGCTCATCATTTATAAAAATTTATAAGTGGTTATCTGGAACCTAATGAGATTATGTCTTTACCTAAAAATTTCTAAAGTGGAGTATGTGAGCCTGTGGCTTTCTTGGTATTATCATAGGGTTTAAGAATCCTTCGATAAAAAGTGATTAACATTAGTTTTGTTTGGCTGGGCATGGGAGCTTCCCACTAAAAAATGGTGATTGGATTGTGTTGTTATTGTATTAGGAAGACCAAGTTCATCCTTTACAGAGTAGGGTTATTGTCATATGAAGATAAAGTTGTGCAAATAACACTGGGAAGATAGAGTTCATCGCTTGGTTATTTGAAGGAATACTGCCCTTAGAGAGACCAAGTCAATTATTTAGAGAGTGGTGCATGAAGCACTAGGGAAACCAAGTTTATTCTATGAAGAGTGGTGCATATAACATTGGGGAGATCATGTCCATCACTTGAAGAGTGGTGCGTATAACACTAGAGAGACCACATTCATCATTTGAAGAGTTGATATATATAGCATTAGAAAGATCACGTTTTTTTCATTAGAAAGTGATGCATATAACACTAGAGAGATCATGTTTGTTTATTATAGAGTGGTGCATGTAACATTAGAAAGACCACATTCATCATTTGGATATTATCTGTGTAGCATTAGGAAGATCACGCTCATCCATTTTCTATGAGAATGCACATTCCTAAGATTAATGTTGAAAGGCTCTCAACTGTTACCTATAAAAAATAAGAAGACCATGCTCATCCATTTTTTTTTATAAAAATACACATTCTTAGGATTAATGTCGAGAGGCCCTCAATTATTACCTATAAAAAATAAAAAGTTATTTTGAACAAGTCATTTATATTTAAAGAAAAACTTATATTCTTATTAAAGATCATACATCTTGAAATGATCCAAATTATAGGTATAAGATAGGTTCCTGGAAGGAACATGTCTTAAAGATGATACTAGAATATTTTCTTGAACCACCCTAATTACTTTATTTAAAAGGTTATTCATGCTAGTTTCCCTTATGAAAATAAAAATATTAATATCATAGCAAATAGGTATCTTCAACTCAAATGTGATTAAATAACATTAAAATATAAAAAGAGAATATCAAGGTATTGAAAAACTTTTTGGTATTATTATTAAACTTAGTGAAATGGGTCCCCAAGGTGAGAAAAATCAAAGGATAAAAAATAAAACAGAGAAACTAGGTGCTCCACCTTGATAACCAGTAAAAATATGGTTTGAATTTAAAAGGATAATAGGTAAAAATATGGTTTGAATTTAAAAAAATTCAAAATAACATCTTTATTATTTTAAAATATTAAGACGACAACACATTAATGTCAACTTAGTTAGCTTGTCAAACCCATGACTTGAATTATAGACTTTATTGGGCTCAATAATATTTTTATTAAATTATATGACCAAAAAAATATGGAGAACAATGCAAAATCAACTAAAAATGAAGTTAGAAAAAAAAACAATAAAACAATTCATCAAAAACTCAATTTTTAATGATGAAATTAAAAAAAATCAATAAACAAAAAAATATAAGGAAAAATACTCTATAAAGATTATCTCCTAAAATTATAAAATATCTTTTATTATTAATCCTTTAATGAATTTAAAAATTACATGGGAACTATTGAACTCTTGCCTTAATATTAAAGAAATAAAAGGAGATAGGAGTATGTGTGAAAGATTTAGAATTACATAAAAAAAGAAAAAGAAAGGGTGTATGTGTAATAGAAAAAACTTAATGGCATGCCCGTGCCCGTGCATTATTGCAAACTTATAAAGCAAATATACATGATATTGTTATAATTATGAAACAGAGCTAGATAAATAATATAAACTAAAGGTGTGATAAAACTAATAATATTCCACAAGAAAAAAAAATTGTGTTGGTAATAAAAAAAAAACTTAGGAACTGAATAGAATGAGTTGTAGCAATCCACATTGTTTTGTGAGAAAAACTATAGTGTTTTCCCTATAAAATTGAGTTTTTTGCTACATGACTTAGCTTTTCTGTTAATAAAAAAAAATTACAAATAAAAAAAAATAAAAAAAATAAATTTAAAAAAAAAATTAAAACAAAAAAACCATGGAAGGAAATACTATGGCAAACCATAGTATTCTGTGAAGAAAGCTACAATGTTTTCCCCATATAATTTAGCTTTACTTGTAAATAAAAATAAAATTACAAAGTTAAAGTCTCAACTAACTCAATATTAAAAAATAAAATCAACAAAAATAATAAAAAAACCATGTGATGAAATATTGTAACAATCTATCATGTTTTAAAAAAATTATAAAGCTAAATTCTCAACCATCTCAATATTAAAAAAATAAAATCGACAGAAACAATTTAAAAAATTAAATCGTAACCAAAATACAAAAATAAAAAAAACACGTGTAAAAATATTATAGCAATCCAAGCATTTTGTTAGAAAAATTAAAGTGTTTTCCTTGTATAATTTAGATTTATTGTAATAAACCGTAAAGAGAACAACAGAAAAATTAGACATCTATTGTAGGAATCGAACTTGCAACATTATAGCATAACACAGCTTAAGTTCATCCCCATCATGGATGATGGTTTTTACCCAAACCCAATGGAAAAAACTAAATCTTGACATTCCCTCACATTGCCGAGTTAAAATATTGTTGCCACGTGTCAAGTTATTTGTGAAAAGAACTTTAAGGTAATAAAAAAAAATTAAATATACAGGCAAGTAAGGTAAGAAGATACAAAAAAAAAAAAACATTAAAATCGTCTGCGGCAAAGTAATAATACATTCATACATGTGTGTGTGTGTACATATAATGTTTCTGGAAGTACATTGCTAATGACAACTGATAAATAGATGTACACCGGTTCATCTCTTCACCAACCCATAATTAAATTTCAATCAATTTCTACCTATATGCGTGCCAGGAAATTAAGAACATAAATTCAATAGCCCAAAAGAGAACATGCATGCCAGAGAGGTTATACACATTGATAAGCTGTGAAGAGTCTAACCAGACAGAAATAGCTTGACAATCTTGTTTTGGCAACAATCATCATCAAACTTGGGGGTTTTTTTATGGTATTAAAAAGAGGCACATAGCCAAAAATAAAGTTCATTTACTCAAAACTTGAAAGCAGTCAGGTTGGCTCCTTAGATGTTCTTGAAAGTATTTTTCAATTAAAAATATATTAAACTAATATTTTTTAGATCTTTTTATTTTGTATATAAATATATCAAAACCACACAAAAAAAAAACACTTTAAGAACATCGAAAAACAATTTAAAAAGCGAAAGCAAACACAAAACACGAATCAGCCAAAATCAGAAATGCTCAGCAGCATGTTTTTTACCAGCCGCGCTTTTTCAAAAAGTCCCTAGTTCTCTTCCTCATGCGAGTAAAAACAATAACAGCACAAGCAAGGATCCATGGAGGGAAGCTTCCCCCGAAAGGGTTTGATATCTTGATCCATTCTGCAGGTTCCTTCAGAACCAATGTTAACAAAAGAGTGATCATTGCTGTCCCTAGTAAGATCTTGGTCACTGGTTTGATGGAGGAGTCCTACAGGTTCAGAATACAATTGCATAAACAAACTATGTGATGAAACACTTTTGTAAAAACTAAAAGAATCATGTGCTAGACAAAAATATACCACATCAGAACCGCAACTAAAGCAAACATGAGTGGAATCTAATAATCCATGTCCATAATTCTCCCAGAATAAGTATTACAAAAAACACATGCCTACACAAGACGATTATGATACGATGCATGATAAAAGTATCAGTATAAAAAAGCTCAAAGAAAAACAATTCAGGTGAAATTTTAAGAGAAATGGAAAGGGTGTGGACGATGCTTTTGGAATTAGCCACTCAATGTCCGATTGAGCATCTATGATAAGGAAGCTGGATTCAAACATAAAGCAAAGTGCTTCCAATTACTCGTTTTAAAGAAGTAGATTAAAATAAAAGTTCACCATTAATTTTAACATGTATAGATAAGCAAGCCTTCCAACTACTACAGCAACCTGAAATTTCTCAAACGAAAAAATAGAAAGAAAATGAGCATTTATTTTGCATTTTGTACATCAAAAACATTTATGGGAAAGAATTAATAGCAAGGCATGTATCTTGTAATCTATGCAAATTAATAGCATTCATCTGGCTCAAGTTTTGTTAAATACGGTGAGAGAACATCGCCTCGGTACGGCGGCAGCTGGGAGAATTTAATTTAGAGAAAATCCCAACATTCAGGAATCCTTCCAAGAAAATGCAATGAATAATGGTAAAAAATTACATGCTTAACAGAATTAAATTTCAGAAATGAACATTCAATGCAAATACAAGAGAGAGAATCCACTGAATTAAATAAACCGAGGATGGAAGCCTCCTTAGCTTTTCTAATCCAATTTTTGGAGTTCTCATCATGGTTAATCCAGTTTTCCAATACTTATATATGCTAATTTATCAACAGTCGACTTGGTGCAATGAAATTGCAAGCAAGCACCAAAGCATTGAAAAAAACTTAACAGATAATAATTGGTGCAGCATAAAGAAAACTGGAAATGATAATAATAATAAAATCAAATTTATCCCAAATCAAGTACTAAAATTACCTTTAGTTCTCCATCAACATGAATGACCGATCCATCTCTATACCCAAGCACAGACCTACCATTCCTCCCAAAAGGGATCGGTACTCCCCGACCCGACGCGGGATTGAAGGCGAAGATCGACTTGAGCCCGTATTTCTCGAGGATTTCTCGAACCTCCAGCTGGTCCTGGTCCCACCCTCCCAAGCTCGACTTGAACACGTCAATCGGACCCTTGCCTTGTCTGTAGAGATGGATCTCCACCTCCGGCACATTGGTCCTGACCCTTTTTTGTGTGGCTTTCGGCTCATTCGGTGGAGATCCGCTCCCGTCTGTGCCTTCGGCTTCTCTTATTTCGTTTTCCGTCGCCATTTTGCTCGAAGAGCCGGCTTCTAGATTGTAAGCGCCACCCCATGTCCATATATATGAGCATGATTATTAAATATATAATAGTATAATTTAAAAATTCATTTCATTGTTCATTAAGTTAGTTGATTGATGAAGAAAATGTATTTTTTAGTTAAAACTGTCATTTCTTATATTTATATATATAAGAAATGATATATATATTATTTTGATAATAACATGTTCCTTTTTTAAAATGTGACAGTAATATATTTCTTTCTATTAGCAAAATAACATGGTTTATTGAATAAAAAATAATAGCAATTAAAAAACATTCAAAGAATTATAATAATTTGAATTGAGAAGAAAACTATATATTTTTAATAAAAAAACATTTTTCATTTATATATTTTTTTATCTGTGTTTTACAAAAAAAAAAAAGCATTATTCTTTGAGTAAAAAGTTAATATAATTATAAAAGTAAGTTTCAATTAAAAATAAAAATATTATAAATCAATATTTTCATGCAGTTGTATAAAAAAATATAATAACGGGGAATTTGAAAAAAAATATAATAAAAAATATAGATATAACTATTTTATTTTCATTTCATTTTAATAAGCCAATATATTTTTAATAAATTATGCTTGTTAGGTTAATATATAATTATTGATAAAATAATTATTAATATTATAAGTAATTTTATGGTAATCAATAAATAACTTTATTAGTTATTTTATATGATTTATTTTAATACACATATATAACATATATATAGAAGAGAAAAATCTCAAATGAAAATATTTTTATTAGTTTTAATGGGTCATAGATTTTATAGATATATTTTTTTTATTTTGATGGATCATTAATTTTTTACTCTTTTTTTTTCTTTGAAAAGACCCCTAGCAATAATTAATAAAAAGTCATTGTTTGTTCATCGAGCACCATAAAAATTTCCCATGTATTACCATAAAAAGGCTTTAATATTCTTTAAAACAATTGAATATTTATTTTAAATATTGTTTTAATAAATTTATTTAAAAATAGTTTTATTTTATTTTTTTAAGAAAAATAAAAAAAATAAAGGGATGTTTGACAAAAGGTTAAGAGCACATAGCTTAGAAGGTTATGCAAACGTAATTCTTCTTCTTTTTTTTTAATGTAATAAACAACATGTTTTTTAAATAAAATAGATGATATCTCATCTGTCTAGAAAGATGACGTGTTGTTTTATGGTTTGAAAAGCTCGGATTCATATTTTTGTATTCTAAAAATTCAATTTTTAAATTATTTTCACTTTAAAATATTTAAAAAACATACTAAAAATTTCAATAAAACTATTTTCAACCCCCTAATCACTCTAGAAACTCAAAATCCAACAAGGTAAAAAAACATTACAAGTTTCTATCTAATTTTTTCAATATATTTAGAGAGAGAAACCATTTGAATTGAACTCTCTTCTTTAAGATGGGTTAATTGACACCGATATTATTATTTTTTATGACCGAAAGGCAGTTTGATCGCACCTTTCTCACTCATATTTCTTTTTCCAACGACCTTCTCAGTCTTCTCTTAACACACAAGGATTGAAACATAATAGAAATAAAGTTTAAGATTGAAATGATCAATCTTAAAACAACATGGACCAAGTTTACAAAATGAAAACTTCAGGGACTAGATCGAGTTTCTGCACCTAAGAAGCAATAAAATAAATAAATGAAAAGGGCTTCGTTTTTTTAATGTTAGCTTTGGTACATCTAGTTTTAGTTTAACTATAATCCAAAATTCAACATTGTAGCCATGGCCTTCAAATTAATGTTGGGATACTTTCCATTAACTTGAATATGCTGAAGTATATAAATCAAGATAAATTATAAAATTAAAAAAAAAAATCTGGTTATTTTGGAGAGCAATGCTATGCATAGAATTTTTTCATACAAATCTTGCAGTAATTACCATTTAATACATAGAAGATCAATCAATTAAATTCATGGGGTATATGTTTAATCACTTACAAGTTGACACGTTAATTTGTACGTAAACTCAGTCTGAAAAGTTTGTTTAAGATATCTACTAATTAACTCATTCTTGCTCAAACTATAATCAACGGCATGCCTTCACAATGTCTAGAATTGTATTTTACTGTTATGTCTTTTTTTTTTAGATTAACGTGAATGTTCGGGCCAGCTTGCGCGCACCACGACTAATCCCACGAGCCTTGAAGTTAACGACCATGTAAGCCTCCAGTGGCCATCATATGAGCAACCAAGGACTCGAACCTGAGATCACAGAGAGAGCAAGTCCCTTGATTCCAAGTCTTTACTACTTGATCACCACCTATATAGTTATTTTACTGTTATGTCTTAATTTATTGTGTGGTGGTATTTCATCTGTTAGCAATATCATCATGGAGTTTGGAAGTCCAGAAATACATACCTCCATTCGTAGCAAAATTGACCCGATTACTTTTAACGGCAATAGTCAACGTGCTTTTATCTAATTTTGAGTGGATTTGCCCGTGTTAATCGGGACGGCTAGTTGTTTTACATTGAATAAATTCTATTTTAATTTCTTTTGAAACCCGATTTGATTAAAATCTTGAGTCACTTAGGTTACAAATTAACATATTGCGTGGACCTGTTTAGTGCTATTGTTAAAAAATATTTTTTTAAAAAATTAATTTTTTTATTTTTTTATTTTAAATTAATATATTTTTAGTTTTTATATTATTTTGATGTACTAATTTTAAAAATTATTTTTTAAAAATTATTTTTTTAAAATAAAAAAATACTTTAAAAAATAACCGTTATTACACTTACAAGTACCCTTAGAATAATAGTTTTCCAAATAGGATGCTTTTGATCTAGTCATTAAATAAGATCATTTATTTGAAAAGTTAATACAAGTTGATATTTTCCTTTTAATTATATCATTTAAAATTATTTGTTTTGAAAAATAAATTTTATTAGTTTTTTCAATTTCCTTTCAATTAAGATACCTCATCTTGTGATCTAGGTAGAAGATTTTACCGGGGTTTTATTTTAAAGTGTTTTTATATTTTTTTAATTTTATAAAAATATTTTTTTTTAATTAAACTTTAATTTTTGTCGTTGTTTGATTTTCTAGTGAATTATCCCATTCAATTCTGCTTGTGAATTTTAATGATGGTGGATTTGCTGTTATTTTGTTCTTAGATTTTTACTGTTTATTATTATTTTTTATTTCATCTTAGAATTGATAATCATTATTTTTTATTTTTTTCTCTACTGCTGTCTTGAATTTGTTTTCTTCTGTAAATTGTGCTTGGGTGTCATTTTTATATTTTAAAAATATTTTTAAATAATTTATTTATTTATTATTTATTTTAAATTAATTTTTTTAGTATTTTTAAATTATTTTCATATACTAATATTAAAAATAAAAAAAATATTATTTTAATATATTTTAAAATAATTTTTTTAAAAAAAAAACAGTTACAAGTATACTATCCAACGGATCTAAATAGCAAGTATTGTGATTCTACCTACCACCTCCTTGGACATGGATATTTTGATACCTTGAATTTCTCGTCAGCGTAAACGTCCCTTCATTTCTCTATCAAAGATAAAAACTTAGAAGTTTTTGCGGCATATCCAATGTTACGCAAGAAAATTAGTAAGTATCACCATCCATTCGACACGTGTTACCAACACACTCCATCCACACGATTACCGACTCATGGCACACCCCCGCATTGCCGACTCACGGGGAGACTCGAGCACCCCGCGTTCCACTTTAAAATCACGTCCACGTCATCATGCTCCTTTTCTCATTCATACGGCTGCATCACACCCGATTCCTCTTCAATATAGAAATAGCAGAGAGGCGCAACATAAACTCGCGAACGCAATAAATTCCAAACTCCAAAAAGGAAAATAAAATTAAAAGAACGCGAGAGAAAGTCGGCGAAAAAAGAAATTGTCTTTAGGGTTTTTGAAGTTTCTCGAAGAGGTTTTTGAAGAATCAGCGAATGGTAAATCATCATGATTCTAGCGCCCTCTCTCTCTCTTTTCATTTTTTAATTTTTGAATTGCTAATTTGTTATTCGGTATTGTAGACCCATCTCGTGTTTTTTTTTTTTCATTTTTAATTTAATGTCTTATACGTATTGATTTTCATAATTTATTATATTTGTGTTTATATTGAAGAAAATTAGGATTAATATTTCGGTAATTTAACACGGGATCCACCCATGAGGAGATTTGTCTTGATAGTATTGTTTTATATTATGATGTTATGCTGGTCTGTCTTGCTAAAATATTTGTAACTGGTGTTTTGTAGGATACTAAGAGAATGCTGCAGAATTCTGTACTGGTTTTAACAGATGATACTCTTATTTCAATTGGTACTGTAGCAAATGCGGCAAGGGAGGTTGCCAATGATGGGGTTGACCAGTGTGATCCTCAAATTATCACTCAAGCATCATCTCTAAGTACTTTCGTTAATCTCTTTGTTGTTTTTTCTTTCCTTATTAGTTTGATTTCATTCCCAATTGTGTTTGCAAGTCATGCTTTGCAATGTGCATCTTTCAAAATGAGCTGTGATGTTGTATTGACCATGTTCTTCATAAGTTCTTAGGAGGACTGAGGTGATTATTTAAATGAGACAATTTTGATTGGAAGTATTTTAGAGTTTGCAGAGAAAAAGAGGTAGCTCTATAGATGGATAGGACATTGCACTTTAGCATGGGTACATATTTTGGCAACAATGATGAGTTACAGAGTTCACAATCAGTGGATCGGTTTTCAGTAGCATATACAAGCAATGCTGTTAAATTCCATACTTGCACAACTTGTTCCTTGTTTATTGAATCAGGTTTATACATGCTAGGTTGCGTCCTGGTTTAACATCTGTTGATGAATTATGACAGGTAAGCTGCCGTTGGAGCCTTCCTCCGTGGATATTGTCATTCCCATCTTCAGATCAATTGAATTTCCTGGTGACCTGTTGGTAAAGGAAATGTTTAGAGTGTTGAAGCCTGGTGGAACCATTCTGATTTACAGTTCTCAGCAACCTGTTATAGGGGAAACTGACAAGGTGAAT